ATCATACAACAATTGAGTAACTCAGGTTTCATCAAGAATAAATCCTCCAAACTGTCTTGAACAAAACTAGGACTAACATTTTGAAAATGACAAAGCCTGCAGACAGAGCCTCACCAAACTGCAATCCAGACTCTTCTGTTTACTAAGTAGGTTCTTTCACCCGACAACTCACAGAGCCCTCTTGCATAGAAAAAAAAGCAGGTAAAGAAATATAGTATGAAAAATTTTCATTTTCACACACTAGGAATTGCTTTTGCAGAAGAATACATGCATTTTTTTTGAGTAAAAAACAGATTCTTTGGAATGTGACACCACCACGGAGTCTGCCCCAAAGAACCACATCCTGGCAAATTAATTGCACTTTACTGATGTTACCACATCAGTAGCCACAAGAAGATGTGAGACTTAAAACTATATAATAAGTAATTTTAATTTTCCAAGTAGCCATATTTAAAAAGTATAAATAAATAAGTGTAATTAATTGTAATGTTATATCCCAAATATTATAATCCAACATGGAATCAATTAAAAAACCCATGAATAAGAAATCTCACTTTTTTTTGGGGGGGGGATTAAGTTTTAGAAACATGTGCTAATGGCTATTGTTTTGGACAGTGCGGCTCTAGAACATTCTGGGGAAAAACGAAAAAAATTTTTCTTCACCAAATAATCTCTGTTGATGTTTTTATGGGGAAGAGAAGTTCCCAACCTGCAGATTAAACAAACAAACAAACAAAAGCCTAAGTTTTCTCCTTTAGGTTCAAGAGTGTGATTATTATATCAAAGGTCTTTGTTTGAGGGGGAGATGGAAATGGACTTCTTTCTAAAACGAGCCACCAAAAAAGGGGGGGGGGGAAGTATTCGATGAAATGTACACGTTTCTAACAAAAATCTTGAGGAAAACAAAAATCTTGAGAGTAGACACGGTCGGTTACCTTAAAATTAATTACCTTGGGAAAAAGTTAGTTACCTTGGTTCCAGCCTAGTGGAATAGTGCTGGAGTCGTGATTTTCCTCTCCGCACGGACGCTGTTTTTTTCACTCTACCGTGCAAGTTCCGTGTTGGTGTTAGCGGTAAAAAGCGGGAGATAAACTACAGCGCACGAGTCCAGCAGTGAAGTACGGTCCGCGGGCCCGTCGCGCCAGCATCCCGTTGCTAAAACTCCCCCGGCTGCATCCCAGGAACCCATGTGGCACCTCCGGGAGCCAGGCCCAGAAAACTGCGTTTAGTCCTCCCTCCCAGTGATTTTCCCGCGCGCTAAAATTTAAGAAGCATTTATTTTAGGAAGCTCTAACTCCTTTGGACCATTCTTCCGTCCTTCCCCACCTTTTAATTCGCTTTCAGCTGGACAGACCGTGTATCCAGCCGGGTCTGGACGCGTGGCAGGCTCCCCAGCGCCCCCTCACAACGCACGCTGTCGGGGGCCAACCCATTTTTGTAAGATGAGGACGTGTATGTCCGCACCTGAAGGTCTCTTTCGCTCGTCTGTGTTCACGCCCACCCCCCACGCTGTCCCAGGGGTCGCGCGCAGGTGCACCTGCAGAGGAGGCCCCCCTGTTTGGAGAGACCCCGCCAAAGGCTGCCGCTCCCTCGTCTCCCTAACATCCTCGGCCTCTTGTCTGCTCCACGTCTGTCTGGGATCCTTCACGACCCTAAACAGTTTCCTAGGGTCAGTCCTCCGCGGGGAGGCGCCGGCGCTGCGGGCCACACCGCGGGGCGGGGCGGGGACAGGGAGGCCGAGTCGCTTCCGTGGGTGGGAACGTGGATCTTTGCGGAGATCGGCCAACTGAGGGTCTAAGCGAGGCTCTGATTTCGTTTGTCCACAGCCGCGTCTTTCTTGGTTCGACGTTTCTCCAGTGGATGTCCCTCCTCTCTCCTCCGGGACCGATGCTCAGGGACAGAAAGTGTGCAGGAGAGAGAGAGCCCTGCCCAACGGGGGGAAACTTCGTGAAGAAAATACTGGTTTGGAATTTTTTTTTTCTTTGACGCGTCTTTGATTTTTAAATATTAAGGTATAATTTACATACCATAAAATTCACAGAAAAGTGTACAATTCAGTGGTTTTTAGTGCATCCCGATTTGTGCAACCATCACCCTTATCTAACTGCAAAGGATTTCCATCACCCCCCCAGCAAATTCTGTACCTTTCCACCTTTCCCAGCTCCTGGCAGCTACCATCTCTGTGGATGTGCCAATTCTGGACATTTCCTGTAAATGGAATCATACCCTGTGGCCTTTTGCGTCTGGCTTCTTTCACTCAGCAGATGTCTTCAAGGTTCATCCAGGTTGTAGCATGTATCAGAACATTCCTTTTTTGGGGCGAGTAATATACCTCATGTGATTCTTGAAGTTGTCTTTCCAAAGATCTTTCAGTCAACTGTCAGTATGGCGAAAGGAACTTGAGGAGGAGAGACGATTTGAGCCCTCATTCCGATTTACCGGATAGCCAGGGCTGCCCCCGAGGTGAGGAGCCAGATCGGATGAATTACCTTCCAAAGCACTTTGAGAGTTTGTTTCTCTTACCAATTTGAAGAATGTACACGTGTAGAAAGACCTTTTTGGGAGTTTGCTTCTCTTACCAACTTGAAGAAACACAGAAAGACATTCTTTCGAGAGAGAAAAAAAAGAGAGAGAGAGAGAAAAAAAAAAAAAGGAAGGTCGAGCCAGCCAGGAGTCGAACCTAGAATCTTCTGATCCGTAGTCAGACGCGTTATCCATTGCGCCACTGGCCCCCCTGGTTAAGAAGTGTTGATTATTTATTATTCATCAGAATCACTGAGTTGCTTCCTGAGTAGGCAGAAGTGAGCCGAAGGAGAGAGACCTGTGGTTTCCGGTAAAGCGGACTGATTGGGATTAGCTTGCATGAGTTACATTCCGGTAAAATAGTTGCATTTCTGATAGGATTTCCTGCCTTGAAACATCATGTGTGTGACAGAAAGTCGCTTGCATTGTTTTTTTTCATTTATGTGCATGCTTGTTTCTATTGTTCCTACCTGTGAACACTTCAGTAGTTTATGCAGTCGGTCCACTGGTCCATCAGCAATCGCATTTTTAAAATTTTTTTATTGTTATGTTAATCACCATACATTACATCATTCGTTTTAGATGTAGTGTTCCAAGCAATCGCACTTTTCTTATGTACTTAATACTGAGGCTATGTGTGGATCAATTTTTAGTAACCCACATCATTTAAAACTTTGATATAATGACAAGGAAAGTGAAATAAAATGCACTACTGAGTTATTAATCATATGTTTTCCACTGCACTCTCCAAAGAGCCCAAACTCGTGCTGGAGGAGATGATTTCAGACTCTATGCAGCAGACCAGACATTCAGAAACACCCACCCTCCCAAATTAGGCCACGGTTTGGCAAGAATTCAAGGTAAATATTTGAAGAAAGAACCCAATTCACATAGGAACTTAGAAGTTTGGATTTATAATTATAGAATTAAAGACCACCCCTCATTATTACGTAGATCGGCTAGGTGTATTAAAGTGCTCGATACAGGCGGAATAGACGCTTGGAAACACAAAGCATCTGTAAGTGAGGCCGGTCCTCTCCTCTGAGGGCGAGAAGCAGAGGGGCTTGGGTCCCCGGGCAGCCAGGGTGCACCCAACTCCTGCCCCACTCCACTTACTGCCTTGGCCAAATCGTTATTTTCTCTTTGCTTCGATTTCATTTCTGTACGATGCTTTAAAGAGCGCTTGGCGCGCGCACACGCACGCACGAATGGATCTTTCTGATCCTAGACCTTTACGTTTTCCACCAGCCTGTTTTAGGTTTGTTTGCTTGCTTTTCCTTTTTCTTTTTTTAAATACCAGAGAACTCTTTGAGGAAGCTTGCCTACATTTCTATTATCGGCACGGGGTATTTCATTAAAGAGTTTTAAAAATAAAATTTCCTGGTTCTCTTTGCCCCTGGGGTCTGCCTCCAGATTTCATAATCCCAGTACAGGACAAGCAGCTATTCTGAGCGCGGAGTTCCAGGCTTTGCTTGCCGGGGCCTAAAGAGGCAGCGCCCGCGCACGAGGGGGTGGAGGGGGGTGGTGGCCGGCGCTCGGCTCGGCGAAGGGTCCAAGTGCCAAGATACACCGAGCGGTGCTTCAGAAAGGGGGGGGCAAATCAACAGAGACCTCTGGAAGGGAAGCTGCCTTCCTACTTTCCAGTTTGCGGAGTAAGATGAAAAGCTGAACACAGAGCTGTTGGTGAGCATTTCATTTTGTAGTTGGGATAGAAAAAGCACCACGAAGCGCTGTGAGCAGGATTTGAACCTGCGCGGGAAACCCCATTGGATTTCGAGTCCAACGCCTTAACCACTCGGCCATCACAGCCCTGCGCGGGCGGGTTGTTTATACATTAGAATACACATTCGTACAAGGCCCCGATTACAGTCCGGTCTTACCAATGCTGGTTGCTTCTGCTCATTTGGCATGTTCACTTCAAGCGGGACACAGAAAGAAATCACTCCCGAGCCCCTTCGTCAGGTCTCTCCACCCAGCCCTTGCCCAGCTTCCTCCAACCCAACCCCATGCTGCCAGGCCCCAGGCCGCAAAATCTCACCCCTCCGAGAGAAGGCAATATTCCAGCATCACAAGAATCCTTGATTTTCAGCATTTTTCTACAGTCTTCATGGGTTGCCTGGTTTTACTTCATAGTTGGCAGGAAATGAAGTGAGGAGTTGTATCCAGAATCCCATTCAGTTGTGCTCTCCGCAGAAAATACTGGGCTTTGCTGATGTGGAGGACAATTCGTCGGCACCGACCAATGTTCCAAACGCAAATACCCTTTGATAGAGCATTTCCACACATACACAGGATATGCTTGCACACCTGAGAGGTTATATTGTGCTTAAGTCTACTCTCTGCAGCATTAACGGTAATAACAAGATTGGGAAAAACCTAATTATTCAGAATTATTTAATCAGATAAATCATGCCATAATTACACAGTGGAGTGCTATGCATATTTAAAAGAAAATGAGAAAGTTCATTGTGTACATACATATATTTTAAAATAAAAACAACAGTCAGAGCAATCTGCATAGAATGCTACCCCTGGAAGTACATTTGTGTTAGATTACATATGCATTTTACAAAAAAAAAATCTCTCAAGGGTAATCAGTCAACTCATGACAACAGTAACCAGTTGAGGGGCTGGAGACTGAGGAGATGGAATTGTTCAGGAGCAGGAAGGAGAAAGTTACTGCATGCCATTTTAGACTTTGGACGTACCTACTAAAAAATATTACATAAGAGCTCAAGAAAACACTACGAATGAGGAGGGGGACAGGAACTGTTTTTACCAGAGGCCTCCTCTGAATGGTGAACGGAGAGCTTCCTTTCTGGAACTCAGCAACACGAGGGCTCTGAAGGAGGCCTCACCAGGAGCCCCAGAGCGAGTGAATTGCAATTTGGAGTCAGTCTGGAGTCAGTCAAGAAGCCTGAGGCAACAAGGCAAGAAGGCTCTGGAATGGGGTTCTAGCTTGGCCCTACTCAGGGCCAGCGAGACCTGGAATGCACACCCTGATTTCAAAGCTTGGTGAGGGGAGCTGTCTTGATTTGCTCTAGGGTGTTCTGGGAGAAGCGGAAGAAGTCCTCTCTCCACAGTGCAATCTTGGACTATTTTGTCCAAATTCACAGAATTTAAATAGTGTAAACTTCCTCCTTTGGATCTAGGAGTAACAACTTGCAAAATCTGTTTTTTTTGTGTATGTATTTTGTTTTTGCAGAGAAAGCAGTATTTTTGGTCTGGGCCAGAGTGTAGTTCTTACAACGTACAGTTTCCAGGAGTTGTTTTTACAGGAAATCCTGTTTGGCTTTAGGGGCAAAGAGCACTGAGTGGAGTAACTCTGTAGCAATCTCCAGTCCCCGCCCTCAGCTTTGCCATTTACCCAGTCCACAGCTCTGCAACAGACCGGGGACCAACCAAGGCTAGCCGTGGGGCAGTTTCATTGGTTTGATTCTCAGGCCTTTGACAGAACCCTTTGGAGACTCAAGTAATCTTGGGATGAAGACTATCGAGTCCATCCACAAATCAAAGGCTCCTTTGAAATGTCTGTGATTCTTACCTAGATCTTGATTTTCTCCTAATCCTTCTACTCTACCAAGGAATTCAGGAGTCCCTAAGGAAAAAAACAGAGAAACAAGGACATTTGGTTAAAAGGACACCATCCAAAATCTGTCACAGCTCATCCCTTCCTTCCTGCTTCCTCCTGGGGAGTTTAACTTTTGTCAGAGATTCTCCTCAATCCCAAACGGCTTCTCAGACTCTGTGCCACTGGGAACTTGCCGCTTTCTTGTGCCCATCGACACCCCCCAGGAGATGCTCTTTTCTCTTCCCTCCAGCATTGACCCCCTGGATGGGGAGCTCTGAGAAGCCCAATGCATGTGGATGCTGCCCAATGGGGGTAGAGTTGGTAGAGAAAGGACTGGTAAATTATTATAATTTTCTTTAGAGCGTCTTTGATTTCGATATTTGTCCTAGAGACTTTCTCAGTCAATGTCCTTTCTCAATGTCAGGAAGAAGTGGGAGGTAAAAAGAAATCTTAGAAGATGGCTCCTTTGTTGTCTCTCAAGACCTTCAGACTTAGCAGACCCCAGTAGGTCCGGATGTGCCAAATCAACTCAGGATAACTTCCTCTCAAAATGTTGTAATAATTTATTTCAGCGTCAGACTGAGCATCACAGTTCAGTATCACTTCTTTGAACAACATAGGAAGAAAGATGTTTTTCACAAGAGAGAGGAAAGAAACCAGACAGCCAGGCGTGACCTGTGACCCCAGTCAGACCTGTGACCCCTTGAGCCACTGGCCTCCCTCCACAGGACGTCCATGTCAACTTACTCCGGACAAACATGGTTTGAAGTCAGAAAAGGAAGGGGATGTTTTGGGGGTTGCTATAAACTGCTTGTGCTCCTCCAAAATTGGTATCTTGAAACCTAATCCCCAATAGGATGATGGTGTTTGGAGGGGGGGCCTTTGGGAGGTGATCAGGTCCTTAGGGCGGAGCCCCCAAGAATGGGAGAAGGCGCTTATCAAGGAGACCGTGGAGAGTTCTTTCCTGCATGTGAAGACACAGTGAGGAGTCTGCCCTCCAGGAGCCACGAGGCCAGGAGGCAAACTTTCACCAGACTCAATCTGCACATGCTTGAGCTTGGACTTCCCACCTCCCAGAACCTCGAGAGGTAAATGCTTGTCATTTCGGCCACCGAGTCTCTGGAGTCTTTGTTATAGCAGCCCAAGGGGACTACGGCTGGGATGGAGACACAAGAGAGGCTGACAAGACTGAGCCGTTCTGGAAAGGCAGATCCATTGCCCTTGTGAGCGTTTTGCGTGATGTGCATTTGCCTGAGATGTCCGTATGTAAGACAGCGATCAGCTTTCCACGTTAGGACATGGTGACATGGTGAGGGGTCTCTGCGACTCATTTATAACATGAGTTATAATCGGACTGGAGTACCGATACACCCGTGAGGTCGGGCGGATGAGGGGGACTGCTGGTTCAGCCCGCTGAAAGCCCACTGCTTCCGATGGGTTTTAGGGTTCAGGACAGAGAAAAGAGCACGGACCTCATCCATAGCTGTGTACTGCGTGCCCGCGCACGTGCCGATTTTCTCCGCCGAGGACACGACACCCGAAGGGCAGATACAACTGGAACAGTCCCTTGACTGAATTTGCAGTAGCTCACTGTCATTCTCCACAGAGCGCCGACAGCTGAATAGGCAAGCTGAAAGAAGATATGGAGGCAATCTCCGCCCCTGCATCTTTCCAGTCCCTGAGGTTGGCACCACGCCCTGCTACCCCTCCAAGAACAGCCGCGCTGCTCTGGGTTTACTATTGTCACGGTTAGAGGAATTTCTAGTGGCTTCCCCTTGGCCTTTTCTGCCGTAATAGCATTCCCTCCATCAGTCACAGAAACAATAGTAGGGACACCTGTGTGGCTCAGCCGGTTAAGCGTCCGACTCTTGATTTCGACTGAGGTCATGCTCCCAGGGTCATGGGATCCAGTCCTGGATCTGGCTGCATGCCCCAAGAGGAGTCTGCTTGGCATTCTCTCTCTCCCTCTGCCGCTCCCCCTATGCTCTCTCTCTCAAAATAAATAAAAGAAACGATGCTAAAGATACTGTCTGGAGTTAGGGAAATGATCTAAGGGTGGGTTTAGGGACCCACTGTGCCCACAGTGAAATGGACCAGAAGCAAACGTCATTGAGTCATTGAGTCTCTGCCTTGCTTGGTGGACAGCAGTGATGCTTTGTCCTCTAGGAATCAATGCCAGTCATTTTCTAGTAATCCTAGAAAATTCTATTTCCTTTGCCCTAATGCACAGTCACTTTGGTAAAAGGACACAGGTCCTGTCTTGTCCTCACATGGTCTTTCCTCTGCGCAGACTCGGAGAGAGATTTCTGGTATGTCTTTGTCTTCATATAAGGAAACCAGTCCTATTGGATGAGGGCCCCACCCTTATGACCTCATTTAACCTTATTTACCTCCTGAAAGTTCCTATTTCCAAATACAGTCACATTAGGGGTTAGGGCTTCACATTAGAACATGTGAATTTTGAGTTCGTAACAACACCCATCTAGTCTTTGGCAATTCCTTGCCAACACTTGGCTCCTATCACCCTGTGATCCAATCATGGCCATTATGTTCAGGGATTCCAGTTTAGTGGTAGCAGGAACCCCTGTAATTTCTGGCCTATGAGGAAAAGTCACCGCAGAGCAAATCGGGCATGCTGAGGCTCTCCTCATGAATTTCCTTCTCACAACCTTGGTGCAAGTCCCTCTGGAGAAGCCCACGATACATTCATTCTAGAATTTCAATCTCCTTACGCCTCTAGTTTGTTCTGCATACACTAAGGAAATACTGATGTTTCAATTTCATTGTGTTGGTTCGTCCTAACTTTGGGTCCATATATTAATCATTTATTAATTATACTTTTTTTAATGAATAAAAATTTAGAGCTGTTCCCAGGTCCCTGAGTTGAAACACTGAACTGGGTACCTCTGCCAAGTAAGACTATGTCAGTGAGCTTGGTCTGATGCAACTTTATATTCCTGCCACCTTGGTCCTATTCACTTAAGATCCATTCCCATTCACACTTGCCCAGGTTTCTGTCAGTATAAATTTGGGAAATCGTGCAATTATTTTGATGTGTATCACACCTCCCCATGGGTCACACTTTGTCCTTGGCCCTCTGGAGTCTCAAGAGAGGAGAGAGGTGGTAGTGATAGATGCTAGAGAGTATCAGCTGAGCTTAGCAGATAAGTGCCTCAAGGAGGCCACTACAAATATCTCGGACAAGAGGACACTAACCTCTTAAGGCTGGGCTCAAAGGACCGCTTCTACCAGTTAGCACTAGGGGGCTGTAATCTGGAAGTGTAGAATTAATTCCCCTAAATATGGTTGAGACAGGTGATAGTTCCCCTCTTCTAAGCTTATCTCATTCCAGAAAACAAAGTCTGCAATATTTCCGACTTTCAGCAAAATCTCTGACTAAAATACAGACCCACATACCACTAAACTATCATGCAATTGACTCCTTTCCTTTTTTACTATCCTATCCTTACCCATTCCCCAAGACAGGAATTTACCTTTTACCCGAGTCAGTCCATTTTTATTGGAGTCATTTAAGAACGAATTTAGAAAGACTTGTTCTCAGTCTGAGTCTCATCAAGAGCAACCGTGGCATTACATTTTGTTGCCAAATATTGCCAACTTGGTTGGCATAATACCTCATGTTAATTTTTTTTTCTTTAACATGTGTCCAGCTCAACTATGATGGGGAGAGCATGAGATTCGAGCGGGAGGTGACATAATCTTGTCTTGATTCCTGTTTGTACCGGCTGTAAGCCTGGGCAACGGAACAGTAGAACAGAGATCATGCTTCTGTAAGGAAAGCTAACTACTAGACTCTGAGTTCCTTGGGGACAAAGCTTTCTGCATTTGCATTCCTGGCCAGCCATGGTGTTCTCGAGGCGTTTCATGTGCTCCCGTACGGGTCGCAGAAGCCTGGTCGTGAGATGGAGCCACACGACCCCTTCTGGTCAGTTACCTGCAGAGGAAGAGGCTGTGGCAGAAAGTGCTCGGGCTTCTGACCGCCTCCCGAGCTCAAGCCGCTCCGTTCTGGTTCCCAGAGAGTCCTTTGCGGTCGCCGAGAGAGGCGAATCGGGCTCCGTCGCAGGGGCAGAGACGGTGTCCAGGGCACGCGGAGGTCTTGAGGTCAAATTCTCCGGCGGTGGTCGGTTGACAGTGCGTGTGAGTCCGACCATCATGCGGTTCTCCTTAGGTGCGTGCAGTGCTGGCCGTCAGCTTTCGTTATTCTTTTAAGCAAACCCTTCTGCTTAGTCCGACCCCGCCGCCTTCTCCGGGACGCCGCCTGGCTTTTCGCGCCCGAAGTTTGCGCGAGGGTGGCGGCCCCGGGTGAGGCTTTCGCTCGGACACCAGGGTTTCGGTTCTTCGGAAGCGGAGGGGAGAGCGCGGCGCCCCTGCGAGCCCTTCGCGGGCCGCCCGGCGGCCGACGGGCCCAGGCCCGGGGCCGAGCCGCCTCACCACGCGGGCCCGCGGCGGCCGGCGCGCGAGCGCTCCCGTGGCGTAGCGGTTATCGCGGCCGCCTCCGCGCGAAGGGCCCCGGTTCGAGGCCCGGCGGGGCAGCGCCTTTTTTCCCGAGACGCAGCCGCCTTGATTCCGGAGATTTGGGCGTCAGTCCACGAACCACGGAAAACGTCACGTCGGCGCCCTCCAGTCTGCGAGGAACGGGTTTCCCCTCGGCTCCGCCTGCGGGCCCCGGGGCCAGTGAGCGGCCTGGGAGGCGCGGCGACGGGGGAGGGGCGCCCTCCTCGGGCTCCGGGTCTCCACGGAAGCCGAGGGGCGGCGACACCAGCCGCCAGCCCCCCGTTTCCCGGCAGCCCCCGGTTCTCACCCCCAATCCGCTGACCCCGGCGCCGCGGGAGCAGGTGCGGCGTGCGCCCCCGCCGCCCGCCGCCCGCCGCGCGCCCTTCCCGGAGGCTCGGAGCGCGGCCCGGGGCGCGGGCGGCGGCGCTTAGGACCGCGGGCCCCGCGCTCACCCGCGGGGGGCGCCTCCTCCCTCCGCGCGCGGGCGCCCGAGCGGGTCCTGCGCGCAGACTCGGCCCCGACGTCCGGGCTCGGCGGGAGGAGGGAGCGCGCGCCCCCTCGCGGCGGGAAGGGCGCCCGGCCGCCCTGCCGGGCCGGGCCCGGGCCGTTCGGGGCTCTGGCCGGCGGGGAGCGCGAGCGTCTGCAGCCGTCAGAGGGCGCCCTCGGACAGAGCCATTCCAGGGCGACCTGAACGGCATCGCCACGAATACAAAAGGAATGATCGTGCGCATGTGTATCATTACTGCAACATAAAAGTACGGAAAGCAGGTGTTTATTTGAAATTATATCATTCTATTCGCTGTTCTGTTGCATAAATACTGTTACTTAATCAAAGCAATAGGACTAGTTAAAACTGGAGGCATGAGCGATTAATAGAACTAATTAAACAAATAATACATGTGAGGAACCACAACAATACTTTTAGGATGTTTCTGTCCTCTGACAGAGAAACTTAAACTTCTTATTTGGTATTTCAGTTTTGTAGTAGATTATGTGACTGTGTATGCACCAAGTACATACATGTAATATTTTTTAAAAGAAAACAAATACAATAGGACAAAGTAAACATGTTACCTATATTTAATAAAAAGTAATGACTTTTTTTTTTCTGTCCCATGATACTGTAGGATACTTTTACTTTTTGTTTCCTTTTCCCGTAATATTTCACTGAACTGCTTGCAGCCCTTAGGACATTCTTCTTTTCTTTAATGTAGTGGTAAAACCAAGACCAGTTAAGATAAAATTCACGTTGACATGCAGCTCTGTTCCTCTCAAGCCTGTATCACACTGCTTTGTGTCAGTTCAGTGTGATGACCTCCAACTAAATGTCCTCTCAATAACACTGAGCGTGGAATCCTCAGGATTTTACTTAATAGCAACAGCAGGTTCCTGGACGGGTGGGAATTACTTTCTAGCTCTGCAAAAGTGTCCACCTACTTTCCATCTTGTTTGGGTTGACCAGCTGTTTGACATCAGGTCTTCTGCATCCGTAACTTCGTCGTATCATCTCCATGTCAGAAATGTCCACTGGTTAAAAACATTCCATAGCACACGACACTATTGTAGCTCAACCCCTTTTTCTTGGGGAAAATGGTTTAAAGCACAGACATCATTTGAACTTGTAAAATAAAAGTTGGATTCCAAATAAGTTACAGCTTTAGTAAAGAAATGAGAAAGTCCCATTTAATGTGACTGCTCTTTGCAGTGATGTCTTTTTAAAGGTCTGTGCGAACCAGTCTTATTTCCCCAAAATGGAGTCATTTTTTCACTGTATGAGTTTTTCGTGTCCATCTGCATGTGACATTGAACAACTCTGGCTCATCCGGTTGGTTCATCCTTTATCCTAGTCTTTATATGCCCTCTTCAAAGACTGTCAGCCCGTTTTGGAACATCTATATTTCTGCTTTGCTGGGATCTTTTTCTACATTCTCATCCTCAATGTATTCCTAAAATAAAGGAGGCAATTCTCCTTGTCCCCAAATTTGAAAATCTGATTTTGTGATTTTACAAAAGACAAATATTTGTACATCTTTTCTGTAGCCAGCAGCAGCGATAGTCATCCTGTAGGCACGTGTTTAAAGAGGCCAGATCCTTTCATTTCTATACGGTCAAAAAATCTCATTGTTTCTGCAAATTTTGAGAAACTGAAAAGTGACCCAAACCTTTAGTTATGGAAGCTTCACTATCATAGGTGAATAAAGCACACCGCTGTTTCGCATGAGATGTGGTGTACAAGACGTGATGTGTGAGATGAATGGGACATTTAGCAGGTATCAGCTTTTCATTTTCTTTGGTAAGACATCTGTTGGCTGTGTTTGCCAAAATTTACATCTGTGCTGTCAGATGAGCATGCAGATCGACAAACAAAATCTAATTTTTATTTGGGCAAAAGATCATGAGATTACAAGTGATGTGGGCCATTCTGATGGATCCAATAACTGGTTACCTTCAACCAGTTGGATCCAGGACCTGGAGGATGAGGAACTGCTTTCACAAAAAAATTTACTGAGACCAGGAGGGAAAAGTTGTATTTCATTCAAGGAGAAACACTTTAGCAAAGATAGACATCTCTGGGTGTCTTGGCCTTGTTTAGGCATTTTTTCGTAGGTTAAAAATATTTACCAGTTGTGATGGTGCATTTTATGTTTCAACTTGAATGGGCCATGGTGCCTGGATGTTTGGTCAAACATTATTCTGGTTGTTTCTGTGAGGATGTTTTTGGGTGGGACTGACATTTAAATCGGTGGACTTTGAGTCAAGCAGATTGCCCTCCATAATGTGAGTGAGCTTCATACAATCAAGTGAAGTCTTGAATAGAGAAGAGGGCTGATCTCCAGGGGATGAGAGAGAATTTTGACACCATGCTGCCTTCAGATTTTATTTGCAACATCAGTTCTTCCCGGTTTCCCAGCCGACTGCCTTTGGTCCCAAATTATCACTCCTTCCTGGGTCTCCAGTCGGTCAGCTTCCCCTATCAGATTCTGGACTCACTGAGCTGTCACAATCATGTGAGCCGGCTTCTTAAAATGAACCTCTTTCTATAACATAAACATCCTACTGGTTCTGTTTCTCTGGAGAAACCTGACCAATGTACCAGTTATTATTGTAACATATTTAACTCTTCAAGAGTTCATAGGTAGCACCCCCTGCAGTTTCTACAGCAGTATTCTGATGCGAGTAATCTTTTAAAAGGGGGTCTTGGTCCCCCTGTCCATGCAAATAAGGAGTGTCGTTGGCAGCACAAGACAGCTGATGGTCAAGGATGCCGGTCCCCGGGCAGCAACATCTCTGGTGCTGGGCGTTGACCTCTGTCACCTTGTCTGGCAGTTGAAAGTGGCTGTCCTTCCCAGTTTGGGAAGGGAGTCCATGGAATATTCATATTCTCAAAGGGACATAAGACCTAGAAAATCTATGACACACTGATGGAGAGGAGGAAAAGACTAAGGGGTCATTGCAGTTAGTAAGAATAATGTTAATCTCTGCTCCAGGAACATCATGTTTGCTTTCATGGGATATATACTAACAAATATAAGTGAATGTAGGATAATATAAACACAATATATGTATAGCATAAATAAATAATAATACAATATGTTATAAATAGTATATAAATTATATAAATATCTTATGGTACTCTATTAATATCAATAATAATATAAAAACTTAACAGAGTTTCTGGAAAGAGGTGCCTATCTCCATCCTTTCATTGCTAAGGGCAACTACAACCCGTGCACATTATACATAAAATAAACAGAAGATGAATCTGAAAGGTGGAGAAAGGAAGGAACCTGGCTAGGGACCCTGGGGCTGGAGGAATGGCCTCCTGTGTCCTATACTTGGAGCTACATAAGCTGGAAGCCCGAAACGCCAGTGGGTGCATACAGAAAACTAAGAAAAGCTGCTCTCTCCAGCCAGAAGACCATCAGAGGGACAGCCTCGCATGACAAAACACTTCTGGATGATGACTACTGTCCGTTAGCCACACACCACACAAAACTGTAGCCTCACTACTACCCAGGGCAGCAAAGATCAAGCAGGAAGCTGGGACTCGTACCCCCACCCAGCAATATCTCTCCCTCTCCCTGGCTGCTGGGGTGGTGTTAGAGGAGCCTAGTGAAGAACAGGACTTCCGTCACTGCCCAGTGGTAGCTGGGTCCTGCCTCCATCCATCTCTGGGCCAGTGGAGACCACATGGGACCAGAATTGTCACCACCTCCCAGCAGAAATAAGATACGCCCTACCTCTGGTGTCAGTGGGGGCTGAGTGGGGGATCCTGGACTTTTGGACTGTCCACCTGGCATTAATGAGCCCCCCTACTTTCCCTGGGGGTAGAGAAAGCCAATTACAAGGGAGGGTTTAAGTAAGAGCCAGAGTCTCATAACACAAAGCACATAATGTCCAGATTTCCATTGAAAATCACTTGTCAAACCAAAAACTGGAAAAATCTCAAACTGAGTAAGACATTCAACAAAGTCCAATAACAAGATGAAAGGGATGTTAGGATCATCTGACAGAGATTTTAAAGCAGCCATCTTAAAAATGCTTCAATGACAATTATGAACATGCTTGAAACAAATGAAAAATAGAAAGCGTCAGCAAAAAAAAAAAAAAAAGCATCAGAAAAAAGAAAGAAAAAATGTAAAGGAATACAAAATTAAAATTTTAGAATTGAAAAATTCAATAACCAAAATAAAAATCTCAGAGCCTGGGCTCAGCAGCAGAATGCAAGGGACAGAGGAAAGAATCTGTGAACTGAAGACAGAACAACAGAAATTACCCTACAGCAGCCCCAGCAGACTAATACACTCATACATTGCTGGTGGGGAGATAATACAGCCCCTCTGGAAATACTTTGTCATTTTTTTTAAAAACTAAAAATGACATCACCATGAGACCAACCATTGCCCTCCTTGGCATTTATCCCAGAGAAGTAAAGACTTATGTTCACGCAAGTAACTATGTAGGGAAAGAAAAATAATTGTCCCTCTATCCTTCTAGATTCTTGGCTGAGACCTCCTTGCAATAAAAGACAAACTAGCAAAAGAAAAAGAAACAGAAGTTTGACAGCATGTATATCTTCTGTATACATGGTAGTTACATAGTATTCCTGGTTCTCTCCCATGTATACAAAGGTATACATGTTATTAAACTTCTGTTTCTTTTACTTTTGTTCGACTGTCTTTCATAATGGGTGGTAGGAGGGCCTCAGCTAAGAACTTAAGAGGGTGGAGGGAAAATTATGTTTCCCCTCCTTCAACTGTGTGTGGATGTTTATACCAACTTTATTCATCATAGCCAAAACCTAGGAAAAAATCCAGATGTCCTTCAAGGAGTGAATGGGTTAAACATCCCTGCCATGGAATACTGCTCAGCAATAAAAGGAAATCAACTATGGATACCTATAAGAATCTGGATAAATTTGCAGAGAATTTTGGAGTGAAAAAAAGTCCCAAAGGTTACATACAGTATGATTCCATTTATGTAACATTCTTGAAATGGTGAAACTACAGAAACGGCCAAGAGATTAGTGGTTGCCAGGGGCTAAGGAGGGAATTGGCATAGGAGGGAAGTGGGTGTGGTCATAAAAGGGCAACATGAGGAGTCCTCAGGCTGTTGGAAATATTCTGGATCGTGACTGTTTGAATGTCAATATTATGGTTGTAACATTGTTTTGCAAGATGTTACCTTTGGGGAAAATGGTAAAGGGTATGGGATCTTTCTGTATTATTTCTTACAACTGTATGTGAATCCACAATGATCTCAAAATAAAAAAAAATGATTAAAAACACTTAAGTGCTTC